TCACATTTTCAGGTATCTCTTCAGCAATGCCCCACTCTACTGGTACCAATTTACTGTTTTAGTCCGTTTTTATGCTGCTGATAAAGACATAACTGAGACTGGGAAGAAGAGGTTTAATTGAACTTACAGTTCCCCATGGCTGGAGAGGTCTCAGAATCAAGGCGGGAGGCAAAGGGCACTTCTTATATGGCAGCAGCAAGGGAAAATGAGGAAGAAGCAAAAGCAGAAACCCCCGATAAGCCCATCAGATCTTGTGAGATTTATTCACTGTCATGAGAATAGCATGGGGAAGACTGATTCCCATGATTCAATTACATCCCCTTGGCTTCCTCCCACAACATGTGGGAATTCTGGGAGATACAATTCAGGTTGAGATTTGAATGGAGACACAGCCAAACCAAATCAGGATAGTTAGGTCTTCTTGTTGAATTGAACCATTTACCATTATGTAATGTCCTTCCTTTTCTTTTTAAATCTTTGTTGGTTTGAAATCTGTTTTGTCTGAAATTAGAATAGCAACCACTGCTTTTTTGCTTTCCATTTGCTTGATAGATTTTTTTTCTCCATCTCTTTATTTTGAGCCTATGGGTGTTATTACCTGTCAGGTGGGTCTCTTAAAGACAGCATGACACTGGGTCTTGCTTTTTTATCCAGCTTGTCACTCTGTGCCTCTTAAGTGAGGCATTTAGTCTGTTTACATTCAAGGTTAGTATTGATATGTGTAGATTTGATCCTGCCATTGTGCTTTTTGATATTATCATTGATCCTGTCATTAGCTGGTGCTGTCATTGATCTTGTCATTAGCTGGTTATTAGGTTGGCTTGTTTGTGTGGTTGCTTTACAGTGACACTGGTCAGTGTGTTTAAGTGTATTTTTGTTTTGGCTGGTAGACGTCTTTCCTTTCTAAATTTACTGATCCTTCTAAGATCTCTTATAAGGCAGGTCTGGTAATGAAGTTCTTCAACATTTGCTTATCCTAAAAAGGATCCTCTTTCTCCTTCACCTAGGAAGCTAGATTGGCCAGATATGAAATTATTTGTTGAATATATTTTTTAAGAATATTAAATACAGGACTTCAATCTCGTCTGGATTGTAGGTTTCAGCTGAGAGATCCACTGTTAGCCTAGTGAAGATCCCTTTGTAGGTGACCTTCCCTTTCTCTCCAGCTGCCTTTAACATACATTCATTTCAACCTTGGAAAATCTGACAATTGTATGTCTTGGAGATGATCTTGTGTGGAATCTTGCAGGAGATTTCTGTATTTGCTGAATTTGACCAACTGGCCCCTCTAGCAAGGTTAGGGAAGTTTTCATGGATCATATCCTGGAATATATTTTCCAAGTTGTTTGCTTTCTTCTCCTCCCTTTCAGGGATGCCAGTGATTGGTAGATTTGGCCTCTTTACATGATCCCATTCTTCTTAGATGTTTTATTTGTTCCTTTTTATTTATTCTTTCATTTTTGTCTGACTGTCCCATTTTAGAGAACCAGTTTTCAAGTTCTGAGATTCTTTCCTCAGGTTTATTCTGCTGTTAATACTTATGATTGCAATGTAAGTTTGTTTTGTTTTGTTTTGTTTTGTTTTGTTTTGAGACAAAGTCTTACACTGTCACCCAGGCTGTCTGGAGTGCAGTGGTGCAATCTTGGCTCACTGCGATCTCTGCCTCCTGGGTTCAAGTGATTCTCCTGCCTCAGCCTCCTGAGTAGCTGGGACTACAGGTGCCTGCCACCATGCCTGGCCAATTTTTGTATTTTTAGTAGAGACAGAGTTTCACCATGTTGGCCAGGCTGGACTTGAACTCCTGACATCAGGCAGTGTGATTCTTTCCTTAGATTGGGGTTCACCAACTTCCTGAATCTCAGTGATCTTTGTTCCTATCCATATTCTAAATTCTATTTCCTTCATTCCAGCCAGTTCTACCTGGTAAAGAACTCTCGTTGGAGGACTGGTATGGTCATTTGGAGGACGTATGATGCTCTGGCCATTTGAGAGTTCTTGCTGGTTCTTTCTCGTCTCTGTGTGTGGGTGTTCCTTTAATATAGATTGAGTACAGTCAACAGACTTCTTTTCTGGATGTTTTCACTGGATTGATGCTTTGTGTAGGGTCTGTATTTGAAACTTACTTGTCTCAGGTTTCAGAGGGGGGTATGTTAATGAGGTATTTTTGGTGTTCAAGCTTTGGGGTGTGATCCAGTAGACGGTGCTTAGGGGTATTGGTCAGTTAGTTAGTAGATTCTTGCTTGGTTGTGTGGCTTCCCTGTTTCCTCACAGTTTCAGCCATGCTCCCTCTCAGTGCTCTGAAACTGCCCTTTCCTCTCCCACTTGAGTCCTGGCTGTAGTTCGTGACTTGGCACTCGTGGGGTGCCCACTGCAGCCCTGGGGTGAGCTCAGTGTTTATGTTCCTTCCCTAGCTTAGAGGCAGAAGAGGAAGAGATCTTAGTAGGGGTTGTGGCCAAGGGTCATTTGGTTGACTCCTGGGGGTTCCACCCCAGAGAGATGTGGGTCAGCAATCACTCAGTGTAGTCAGCCCAAGATGGAGGGTTTGTGCTGTGTGCCCAAGCCAGGGGTTCCCTGTCTGGTGAAGAACAGTGGCAGGTGGGGGTGTATGAGACCCATGGGAGACTGACTGGCTGCCTCTCCTTCGGTCAACTCTAGCTTGTTGGAGGTGTAGGTAAGGCACTCTTAGGATCTTTGTTCCTTTGTTAGTTTGAGGGTGGTAAGGGCAGTTCCACTGCTGAGGTTATGGCATAGAGGCTTTCAGTTTTCCCTGGAGGCTCTGTTCAGGGAGTTGCTGAGTTGGTACTGGCTCCATAGTTCTGGCAGTGGGTGGCTGGAGGCCCAGGCCTGGAGGGACCTGTTTAGTGAGGAGATATGGGAACAGGCACCCATGTAACAGTCTGGCCACTTTTCTACAGGGATGCTGTGGTATACTTGGGGCCTGCTCCAGTCCCTAGTCACCTCAGATTTTCTAGAACCTGGACGTGTCACCACTGAAGGCTGCAAAACAGCAAAGATGCAGCCTGTCCTCCCCTCTGGGAGCTTCGTCCCTGGGAAGTATGAACCTGCTTTTGGCCCAAAGACACCTGTAGGAAGTGGCTGGAGACTCTGGTTGGGAGGTCCCGGCCACTGAGGAGGAATGGGATTGGGACCCACTTATAAAAGCAGTCTGGCCACATTTCAGTAGAGCGGTTGTGCTGAGCTGGGGTCTGCTTCAGCCCCGGGTTGCCTCAGACACTATGAAGCCCACAGGCTGGAATGGCTAAGACACCCAAACAGCAAAGATGGTGGCCCACCCCTCCTTCTGGGAGTGCCATCCCAGGGGAAATTCAGATCTCTGTCAGTTGGACAGCTCGGGGAGGGGTGGCTAGAGGCCCCAGTTGAAAGGTCTTGCTCAGTGAGGAGGAACGGGATAGGTACCTGCCTAAAGCAGCAGTCTGGCCACATTTCGGTGGAGCTGCTGTGCGGTGTGGTTCTGGGGGATCCCTTCTGTCCTGTGTTGCCTCAGACTCTCCAAAGTCTAAAGGCTAGAATGGCTAAGGTGCCCAAACAACAAAGATGGTGGCCTGCCCCTCCCACTGGGAGCTCTTTCTTAGGGACATGCAATGCCACTACCGGTAGCTGGCTGGAATTCCAAGCCAGTGGTCTTCTGGTGAGATGCAGTGGAAGTGGGGCCTGCGGGCTGCTGCTGCTCAGCCCCCGGGATGCATCCTCTTTCCTAGGTGCATGGACAGGAGTCTAACCTCCCCGTTTGCCAGAGCCATAGCCGCTTTGCTGGAAAGCCTGAGTAGCTAAGGCCCCAGGGTCTCCGCGCACGCCTGAGCGGCCGCTCTGCCAGGACTCCACGCAGCTCTGTCTGTCAGAATGAAGACTGAAGGCCCTGGTGGAGAGGGGTTCACAAGGAGATCTCTTGACCTGAGGTTTGCACAGACCTGTGGGGGAAGCCTGGTTTCTGGGTCGCTCATTCAGTCACTGCTTCCGTGGACAGGGGAGGGTCCCTGGTTCCATGTTGCTCTCAGGTGGGCCATTGTCCTGTCCCATTTTCTTCATTCTCTGTGGGTCAAGTTATTTACTTGATTAGTCCCAGCGTGAGTACCTGGCTGTTTCAGTTGAAGGTATTGTATTCACTCTTCCGTCTGTTCTCCTTGAGAGCCAGACAGTCTAGCTGCTGCTTGTCAGCCATCTTCTCCACTCAATCTCCTGTGTATTTCTGCAGACGTTTCAAGGGGTGGGATGGCTAGAAAGAAGAGTATATGTATTTTTAATTTTAATAGATGCTGCCACATTGCCCTCTAAAAAGGCCATAATTCATATTTCCCTACAGCCAGCACGTGAGAACATCCTCTCCCTATCTTGTGAATTTCAGTAGTTATGAAATATCTTTTTGAGTTTCTGAGTGGAGATAAAGTTTTACCCCATTGTTACCAATTTCTGCGAGCACTAGGGGATATGGACGACTTTCTGATATTACCTTGGCAATGTGTTTTTGCCCTCTTTGTGCTGCTCGTCTTTTGCTAGGTTCGTTGCTAACCTTGGACCTTTATTCTTAATTAGTTTGTGAGGGCTGTTTATACAGCATGGATGCCAACTTTTGTTATCTAATTATAGATATTTAGGTCAGATATAGCATTCATCTCTTGGCTTTGTTTCTTAGCCAGTCACTGAAGGATTATAGAAGCAAACTGAGTTCCAGCAGCTCGAGTACAACCTTGTTAGTTTGAAATGTTAAGCAACCCTTTGGAAGGGTCCATGGGTGGTATGATGTTGACGGATATGGTACAATATGCTTGTTGAAGACTGCGGTAGCTCACACATTTATATCTCTGTAGCTTTTCGGGGGTTCTGGAAGCAGCAGAGAGGTATACTCATATGTGTGCCTTATGTGCAAAAAAAAAAGAAAAAAAGTAGCCCGATCACTAAGCAACTGTAATCTGCTCAACTGGTCTCTCTTCCTTATTGCAACTAGGTCCTGAAATTCGGTATTACTCTTTTTTTTTTTTTAGAAATCATGCCATCCTCAAAGCCTCATCCGCCTGTCGTGGGCAAAGTGACTCATCACAGCATTGAATTATACTGGGATCTGGAAAAGAAAGCCAAGCGCCGAGGACCCCAGGAGCAATGGTGCAGATTCTCGATTGAAGAAGAGGATCCCAAAATGCACACTTACGGTATCATTTATACGTAGGTGCAGTGTTGAATTGCTTACCACTTTACTTTGACTTCCTCATTAGCTAGAATGATTTCTGTTGTCTCTGAAAAGCCACTGCTTGTTTGAAATTAAAGAATGAGTCAGCATCATTTGTATTCATGCTGTTTTATGAATTACAATTTTGGGGAAATAGGCATTAGCGATAACTTTGAAATTATACCTCTGGACCTTTGAGAGCTTCTTTGACTTTGGAAATACTTTAATGATACGTATTTAAAATCCAAATGTAGAGACAGACTCAAACGATAGCTTGATACAATTAGGTGAGGTTCCCATGAGGCTGTTGTGCTCACTGACATGGGATGGCCCCACGTGGTCTACTCTCCTCTGATCTTATGTCATACCACTGTCCCCTCGTCAACTCTCTCATACCACGCTGGTTCCCATCTCAGGGTCTTGCTTATTGCTGTTGCCTTCAGTACATTTCCTTCTGTTTTTATTCAGCTGGTCCCTTTGCACCATGCTAATCTCAGATCAAATATGCCTCCGCCCCCAGAAGGCCATCTGAAGTAGCCATTCTTCCACACAGGCCTCCCTCAGAATCTCTTTTTGTATGCCACATAGCACTTAGCTCTGCTGGGCTTATTTTACTTGCTGGCTTAGTTTACTTGTTTACTTTGTTGTTTACCTGTTTACTTATTTTCCTTGTTCCTTTCCTGCCTCCCCACCCAGTATTAAACTCAGTGAGAGACAAATAAGACTCCTGCCTGCTTAACGCTTTAGCTGGTTCCTTGACAGTGCCGTCTGCTATACAGCAGGCCCTCCAAATGCTTCTTGCATGAACAAATATCACCAGGATTAATCAGGAAGTCATTTCTGGCCAGGCATGGTGGCTCATGCCTGTAATCTCAGCACTTTGGGAGGCTGAAGTGGGTGGATCCCTTGAACCTAGATGTTCAAGACCAGCCTGGACAACATAGCGAAATCCCATCTCTACAAAAAATACGCAAGTTAGCCAGGTGTGGTGGCATATGCCTGTAGTCCCAACTACTTGGGAGGCTGAGGTAGGAGGATCACTTGAGCCTGGGAGGTCGAGGCTGCAGTAGGCCATGATGCACCACTGACCTCCAGCCTGGGTGACGGAGTGAGACCTTGTCTCAAAAAGAAAAGTTATTTTTTTCTTTGCCTTCATATCAGCTCTGACTTGTTTCTTCCCCTTGATAGATTTACCACTTGCAAAATGCAAAATGACTCTTTTGTAATTCAGGAATACGAAAAATGAGATACAAATATAGTTCATAATTAAACTTTTAATTGTGGAATAATTGTAGATTCATATCCAGTTGTAAGAAATAATGCAGAGTGATCGGATGTACCTTTTCCCATTTCTCTCCTAGAGTAATATCTTTGAGAATTGCGGTGCAGGGTCACAGTCAGGATGTTGGCATTGATGCAGTTAAGATGCGCACAGTTCCAACCGTCTTCTGGCCTTTTCCAAGTTTGCACTGCGACAAAAGTGCTGATGTGAGGGTGTGTGCGTGTGTGTCAGATATAGAAAAATATGTATGTATATAATCTGTATATGAAGGCTTCAACTTCAACTGTTACCTCAGTGATAATATACCTGATATTTGAGAAATTTCTCTGTACCTTAAAAAAAATCTGAAATGTAGTTACAATGTAAAAATAATTCTTGTTCTAACTACTCAAGTGTTATTTTAATCATGTCATTTTACTCATTGAAGGTCGTTCCTATCTAAAAACATGAATTATGATAAGCGTTTCTCTGGAGAAAGAAAAAGACATGTTTCTTTCCCACATCACCTTAGCACCACAGGCTGTGGTTGGGCAGGTGGGTTGGGCCACCTAAATTGTTCTTTCGTCCTTGGTTGCTGGGTTGCAGGTAGGCAGCCTCAGCTAGAGAAACCACAGCTGCATGCGCTGGCTTCCAGCCTGAGGTGTGTGTCTGTGTTGTCTGCATTATCCCCCGAGACCCATTTGCTGTCAGGCTGAAAAGCGCATTCGCGCTTTGAAGACAGTCTGGCGTTGTGGGACTGGCACTGACATCTGTGGTCCCCACTCTAAGGGCAGGGGGGAAATGCTTGCATTTCTTGCAGAATTAGTCAGTACAAACCTTGACGCTAGGTGGCAGAATTAGGCTGTATTAATCTTGACCTCTTTTGCTTCCTTACAGCTTTCTCTACATAGTGTTAAACTAGCAAATACTTTTTTTTTGTAAAAAGTGATTATCTAGAGTACCTGATTTTTGGATGTGGATTTAAGAACTCCTTCCTGATTTGTCAGTTTCAGTTCCCATCAGTCATCAGTCTATCTGGAATCAATGACATTGTCTTTGGCTAGGGCGCTCCTCCTTGGCTTCTCATAGCTTCAGTTACTGTGCTCTCCATTTGTAAAGTCGCTTCTGTGCTTCCCCTCATTAACTGCGGTGCTCCCTGCAGGATTTAAGCTCCATTTCTGTCTAGCTCATTCGTGGACGCCCAGCTCCTACATCTGCCCAGTGTATTTTCTGATGGAAGGAATTGACCTTATTCCTCTTTTATCTATTTTTTAAACCTTCTATCTCATCATTCTATCTTGCTGAATTTCCATTTTAATCTTTCTTCTGTCAAATTGTCTGCGGTGGGTCTCCACTTCTGGAAAGATAAAGGCCAAATTCCTTAGGCTAACATTTAATGCCGTTCACAGTTGGCCCACACCTGCCTTTCTTGTTGCCTCTTATTTCTGAGCACAAACCCTCCAGTCAGATTTCCTGCTGTCCTTTGAATATGCCTTGCATGTGTGTTCAGTTATTTTCCCTGTTTGGACAGATTTTCCCCTCTCTATTCTTTCCTCTGCCCAGGTCAGATTTTACCTCCACTGAGAAGCTTTCCTTACTCACTACCCTGTTGTCTGTCCCTTAAATCCCTGTGATCAGTTCTGCTCATGCATTCCATTTACTCCATCAGCGCGTATTACCGACTGCCACGTATCAGACGCTGCTCCGGATGCTGGGGATATGGCACTGGGGATAAACTGATAAAAAATTCCTCCCTCATGATGTGGAAGGCAAACAAGAAATAAGATGCATAAGTAAAAATAGGTAGTCAGCAGGGAATACGTACTAAAGGGCAGCAGCACAGGAAAAATTGGGGGCCTGGGGTAGAGGTGGGAAAGTCTTCACCAGGAAGGTAACTTCTGATTGGGTCTGAAGCAAGGATACCTGGAGCCTTGCAAGTGTCTGGGGGAAGAACTTTCCAGACATAGCAAAGGGCCGGTGAGAAAGCCTGGCAGGGCAGGAGTACCTGGCACGTCCCAGGAGCATGGAGGAGCAGAGGAAACAGGGAGGAGAGTAATGGGGGCGAGGGCAGCTGGGCCATGAGAGGCCACTGCCTGGTTCTTGGGGGTTACTGGGAGAACTCTGGCTTCTACTCTGAGAGAGGTGGGGAAAGCCATGGGAGATGGTGAAGCTGAGGAGGGGCGTGATCTGGCTTATGTTTTACGAGAATCCGTCTGCCTGCTGAGTTGAGAACAGGCCATTGGGAGGCCAGGCAGCAAGCAGCAGGGAGGGCTGATGGGGAAGCTTCTGAGACGGTTCAGGTGGAAGACAACACAACAGTGTGGAAAGTGGGAGGATGCAGGATGTGCTTTAAAGATGGATTTAAAAACCTTGCGGATGGACTGGATATGAGATGTGAGAGAGAGGGAGGATGGTCAAGGGATATGTGACGGCCAGCACAGGCCAAGTTATGCTGCCTGAAGCATCAGCGTCACAGTGTCGGTGGCTATGGCAGCTGTGGGTGTCTCCCACCCACCGTGCCCACTGTGGATTGGCGGGGACTCCACCCTGCACTTCCCCCTACCGCTGCCCAGGCCACTGCAGAGGCTCTGCCCGAACGTTGTCACTCACTGTGCAGGGGAGAGAGCCTGGCTCGCTGTTCCTTGAAGCTTCCACCCAGAATGACATACTTCACTTCTGCATATACTTCATTGCTCAAAGCAAGACATGCAGCCCTGTCCAAGTTCAACAGGTCAGGATCTTTGCGGGAGGGCACCTCACATCTCTGAACAACAATCCAGACTTCCGCAGGAGGCACCCGGGGTTTTGGCCTGAGCAACTGTGATAACCGAGATGGGGAAGACTGGGGGTGGCGTAGCTGCTTGGTTTGGGAACTACCCGACGTCCAAGCCGAAATGTCAAGGAGGCTGTTAGGGAAGAAAGGGCCAGGGAAAGGGTCTGGGTTGGAGCGACAGACTCCAGAGTCATCAGCATGAGGCTGGATTGGAGTTCTGGGGGAGGGAGTGGGGAGAAGAAAGGGAAGTCTGGTAACTTGAGTCTTTGGGCTTTTCAATATTTAGCTTCTTATGTTTCATATTTGCTCAGCTCTTGTGTCAACCATTTGCTTATTGGCTGATAACAAAAACAAGGCTATGCTTCACATGTTTGTATATTTCCCTCTGCCGTGGAAACAGTTCCAAGATTCTTTCGTTTTCTAAGCGATCACGTCTAGGGAAAGTTGTGCTTCTCCACGGATTCAATGAACCACTTTTGTGAGTCCCCCTGCACCTGCTTGTTAATCACTGTGGAGTATCTGGGTGGACATTTGTGACCTGGGTTCCTGCTGTGTCTTTTGTACTCTTTGGTGCCATCTCTAGTGACGCGAGAGTCTTCAGCCTTCCGTAAGTGTGCTTGGTGACATCTGGTTTCTAACACAGTTTGGTTATTACCCTTTCCAGGGGTTATGGAGGTGCCATTTGCTTCAGGGTGACCTTATGATATTCAGCAATATTGGATTTTATTGGGAGCACTTCTGGTTTTATTTTGGTTTAATACTATGCTAAGTCTTTGACACCTTGCATTGAATTCCAGTGAGGCTTGGATATTATATTCTCATTGAACTTCTAAAAATCTTTTCAGATGCCACACATTGTTGAGGGCTCAGTTTCTATGACTGAAATATCTAAGTATTCATGGGCCTATTTTCATTTAACATCAAGATTTACCTACTCACAAGACTACTTTGTGCCAGGCTGATACATTTTTGTTTAAAAAAAAGTTATTACTTTTTAGTCCGGGCAGTTTTTCTGAATATTTATCTTAGTTTCATAGCTTTTACTTTTATGGTAAATGGGTTTGTATCAATTTTTAACACCGATCTACTTCTTGGTTTCTGGATTGAAGAGTTGTTGTAATGCCTTTGGTATTATTTCTTTGCTGTCTTTCTTAGTTTCTTTTTTTTGTTGATACATACTATCTCAGTAGTCTGCTGCAACACAAACCAACCCCAGACTTCGTGGCTTACAGCAGAGATGGTCATGTGTTTGCTCATGATCTGTAATTCGGCCAGGGTGTTGATGGCTTGTTTCTGCCCCATGTGGTCTTGGCTGTTGCAGCTCTCTTGGGGCTGGAAGATCCAAATGGCTTCACCCAGGTGTGATGTATCAGCCGGGATGGCCAGGGCAACAGGAGACTGGCTGGGCTTCTTCATCTCCCTTGTGGTCTGGGTCTTCCGCTGACTGTCTTACCAGGTGGCCTCTTTCTCCAACAGGGAAGTTGAACTTCTTTACATGATGGCCAGCTTCCAAGGGAGGAGAAGCAGCAACTTCTGGGCATCTTAAGGCCCAGACCCAGAGCTGTATAGCATCACTTCCACCACATTCCATTCCGTCCAAAGGGAGAGGAACTAGACTCTAGCTCCGTGGGGAGAGGAACATGTTTCTGCAGGGATGGTAGGGACTGTGGAGGACAGCTTGACTTCCAGCACATTTGGCTTCTTGAAGGTGAAGAAAAATGTGTTTCCAGCACAGATGATGTCGGTTAGGAGGCTGAATCCACCAGCACAGAGCAGGGAGGCAGAGGCACCTACGTGGTCGGAGGTGCCTTGATGTGCTTTGTCTTTTTCTTGGCTCTGCTCGCGCTACACCCAAGAAGTCATTTGGATTTGGTGCCTCAAGTGACTTTGTGATGCAAAAAAAGGATCAATAAATGTTCAGTACTTGATTTCGATTTTACCTTACAATGTCGCATTTTAACAAAGGAAAGAAGCATCAAGTAAAGAAGATCTTCGTAAATGTTTTCTAGTTTTCAAAAAAAAAAAAAAGCTTCTGTTAAATGTTAGAGTTAGAAGTATGATGTTAGTTGTCTCCAGATTTCACAGAGGAACCTCCTTCCTGGATGCGCCAGACTCTTCTGCACCCTGACTTTCATGGCCATCAGAGCGCCTAGACCATGACTTTCCCAGGCATTGTGTGGGAAACCCTGCTGGGGAGCCCCTTTCTCAGACTGCCTGGAAGATGTCTGCCTGTCTGTCATGGAAGCCCTTTACGCCACTTCTCACTTGACATCAGAGATATCCTCTACCAGAGGACACTCTCCTGCCACCTCACCTCCTCTGCCCTGTACCCTTGCCTCAGATACCTGTTCCTGCCTGTCCCTCAGTGGGGGAATTCCTTGTCTGATGGATGAGTTTGGCAGAAGGAACTTAGAAGCCCTTCTGGGTTCTCCTTTGGAGATATTCCTCCCTCTAGAACAAGTGTTGGGTCTGTTCTTTAGCCACACACTTAATGCCATGCCTTGTCCTTCAGGGGAAAGAATCTGGTGGGGGCTGGGAGTGAGTGGGCAAGGTTGTTTGATGATTAGATGAGGTGTTAGCTCACCCGCCCAGCCCAGATCTGAAGTCAGGTTTTTCCAGGTGTTACTGATGATGCTAACTCCAGTACTGGCATTTCTCCCTTGCTCAGCTTCCCTTCCTGACTATCCTTGATGCCCCTCTTCTTGTCACCCCATCAGTAGAAAGTTGGAGTCAACTAGCCTGTCCCAGCACCTTGCACATAATGGGCACAAGATACACTTGTTGAGTTGCCTGGAATAGAATTGATGTATATATATTTAGTTGCATGTCATCATCCTTGAAAAATTAGTTGTGAATCCCATAGAATGGTTCTGGTATTTTTGGAAGATCTATTGAGAATAAAAGGAAAACTAGAGACAGGAAAAAAAAAAAACCAGGAGGAAACAGTGGTAACCTTGGCATCTAAAGAGCAATGGTCCAAGGGAGGAGAACAAGAACTAGATTGAGTGTTGAAGCGGGAAAGCAGAAAGGGCTGGAAATGACTCTCTCTCTCTCTCTCTCTCTCTTTCTCTCTCTCTCTCTCTCAAAAACTAAGACTTTGACTAGAAGAAAACAATTTAGAGCTAGGATTTGCAAAAGGATACATGGAGTTTAGTCAGATAAGAATAAAAAATGTTGGCAGCAAAGAGAAATGGGTAATATAGAGGCTTTGGGTAATACTGGGAAGTATGTATGGCTCTGTCAACTTTCGGAGACCTGATGTTACAGAATGCATGCCAAGTCAAAGCCAGGCTCCTGGGACCTGCTGACAAGCAGAGGGTGAGATCTTACCTTAGCACTGCTGCTGGGTCCCAGCCTCATCTTATCAGGCAGGCAGACTGCGTAACTGCATGTCTTGGTGCTCATTTTGCAGGCTACAAATGGTTAGACTCAGTACTACTCCCCTCTGGAGGTGTGTGGATTTCCATTGTGAGTCTCTATTCCGGAAGTGCTCAGCATCCATTTCCCACAGACATTCCTAAGATGAACTTGACCATGGGGCATGATATTAGCACTGTCTTCCATGTGCTGCCCGAGCTCCCAGCTCTACTGGAAGCTGTTCATGGGCTACGAGCAGTCTTGCATGTGACTTCTTCAGGTCCTTGCCCTGCGGTGGTATTTTCCCTGCAGAAGTTATGCAGCCGTGTAGGAACCTCACTGCCCCCAACACTCGATGGCCCCTACTTGAAAATAACGTGTGTATGATTTGACTGCCTGTCATGTCTTTCAAATACAAAACTTGGTCACTTGAGGACAGATGTCCCGGTTAACATGATTGTTTCTCAAAAGTACAGAACTGCATGCTAGCTATGTGTCAGGCCCTGGGCTAGGCCCTATGGGACAGAGGGCACCTGCTGGGTAGGGATAGGGGCACCATGTGGGACCTGTCCTTCATTCTCTAGGACTTCAGCAAAGCAGGATCCATCAGCTCTGTCCTTGAAATAGAAAAAAAGTCACTTCCACCTGCTCTTCTCATGTCTTATCAGAGAGTGTGGCTTAGGTTACCTGGTGTCTTCAGCATGCCCGTTTCCTCCTGTCTAGGGGATATGCAACGAAGCATGTTGTTGAAGGTCTGGAACCAAGGACGCTGTATAGATTTCGCCTGAAGGTCACCAGCCCCTCTGGGGAGTGTGAGTACAGCCCACTCGTCTCAGTGTCTACAACCCGTGAGTATTCAGACCCTCTGCGCTCACCTGTCTGAAGATCAGTGGAGATGACAAGCAATTTAGAGATAAAAATACTCTGCCTCTCGTTTGGCCTTACCAGAAGCAGAAATGATTCCAATGTTAAACACCGCCAACACATTCACTAGCTGGGCCTTGCCAGAACCTGTAATGTCAGGGAAGTCTAACGATGCTTTCTCAAACTGGGAGAGCTGTTTTTTGTGCCAGAACCGTCCTACTAGTAGCCATTCAGCACAAAAGGGTGGAGTCATCTTTTTAGGTGAGGGGTGACAGGGATTCGGGCTGGGAAAGCCAAAGCGTCCCCACAGAGCCAAGCAGGCCACCTGCCTGGGCGTCCTCGGGGGAGCAGCTCTGTTCAGCATCTTGTCCATCTTGACTGGCCCAGGGTGTGAGACTTAACTTGCCACATAAACCTGATTGCTGGGGTCACGGTGAGTGAGGGAGAGCCAGGGGTGCTGCTGTATCCACGGAGAACCCTGTGAGGGAGAGCTCCACGTGGAGGCCTCTGAGCCCTTCAGCCGGCTGAGTTTCAAGATTGTTTCTGGGATGGATATTTTAAAGATGCTCTGTCCAGGGCCATGTCTGAGAAAGAATGTTGTAAAAATTAGGATGGTCACAGGTGTTCTCCCTGGCCCACCCACTGAAAAACACAGGTGCGTCATTTCTCGGTTGCACAAAGGTAACTTTCTTTTTGTGAGTAAAGTTATTTTTCCGTTGTATTCCACGTAGCATTTGGCTTGGAGGTATGTGCTTTCTGTGGCTTTCAACTGTATCCTTTAGGCATTTCTTCATGACAATTTTTGTGTAGACTAAAGTTAACTCAGCTTTTGAGTACCTTCAGTTGCAGACATGGCATTAGGGGACAGGATCTGAGTTTAGCAAACTGGGAGTTTAGCTGTGAAAAACACACTTTCAGAGGATACTTTTGATGTGAAACGGTTGACTTTGGGGATTCAGGGTAAGAAAGAGGGCTTGTTCCTTCACCTGGCAGCGTTGAGAACATTTGCTGTTACATGGAAGGTATTTACCCTTGGGGTTCTTAAGAGAAAGCAAAGAAGGCAGAACGTGAGCTTTGTGTTCTGAAGGAAGGCCGAGGGTGTGCAGGAGAAGAGGTGGCAGAGGGAGCCACGCCTGTCAACAGAGACTCGCCAGGCATCCCTGGCCAGGATGCCGTCCCAGGCTACCTTTCTGCTCCCTCCCATCCTCTTGCTGTCCCCACCCAACCACAGGCTTCCTGCCACCCCATACTCCCCCATCTCTGCCCCTCCTCCTTGGAGCACCCACTCCATTGCTGTGCTCACTGAGCCTGCTCCATGGGCAAGCATGGTGGGGGTGATTTCCTTGTGTGGCTTTTCCCTTCCTCTGTCACATGCTTTCCCTCCTCCCCAGGTACAGAGCAGCATTCCTCCACCTCTGTGAACACTTCTTGCATCTTCTCCTACATATTTATCTGCCTTTTGGCCTCCCACCTACACTGGGGCCTCTGAAAGGGTGGGTGATGCATCGGCCATCTTTAGCTTGTGGGAGATCCTTAATAAATAAGTCACTGTGTGTGCCTATGGCCAGAGGCAGGAGGATCACATGAGCCCAGGAGTTCAAGGCTACAATGAGCTATGGTGGCACCACTGCACTCTCCAGCCTAGGCAACAGAGCAGGACTCTTTCTCTAAAAAAAGAAGATCCTGGATGGATGGATGGATGGATGGATGGATGGATGGATGGATGATGAATTAAGGACCCATGGCAGAATAAAGAGTATGAAAAAGAAACGCTGGTGTTCTCAGGTTGCGTTTATGTAAGTTGGGAGATGGATTAGTTTTCCTCTGGCCAGCAAGAGTCTACCTGAACCTTCCAGGTGAAGGTGAATGTGGTTGTTCTGCAGCCGTCCATGGTCAGCTTCAGGTGGCCTCTAGCATCCTCTTAACTGGCACATCAAAGCCAGGGCAGGGGCTTCTGGACCTCTTGGCCTGAGTTTACATGGGGTTGACGTAGTATTTGGAGCTGTTTTAGGAAGGGCTATGTATCAGTGTGTCCTCATGCTGCTAATAAAGACATACCCAAGACTGGGTAATTCATAAAGGAAAGACGTTTAATGGACTCACAGTTCTACATGGCTGGGGAGGCCTCACAACTCTGGTGGAAGGCAAAGAAGGAGGAAAGGCATGTCTTACATGGCGGCAGGCAAGAGAGAGCATGTGCAGTGGAAATCCCCTTCATAATACCATCAGATCTTATGAAACTTATTCACTATCAGGAGAACAGCACGGGAAAGACCCATCCCTATAATCAAATTACCTCCCTATAATCAAATTACCTCCCACCGGGTCCCTCCCATGACGTGACACATGGGAATTATGGGAGCTACAATTCAAGATGAGCTTTGGGTGGGGACGCAGCCAAACTAGATCAGGCTGTGCCTGGGGGCCAGGTGTGCCTTCTCCTCACTGAGCTGGCTCCAGAGGCAGCCATGGAGAGCTGGTACAGGGTGTTTATCTTTACGGCTTCTATGAGTGATTAGATGAGGCCTGGAGGGATGAGTGTGAGGTGGTGACCAGGGATGAGTTTGTGTGTTGGGGAAGTGATCCTGGCCATTTCACTGCCAGACAATAGAGTCACTGCCTGCAGCCAGGAAGCCTTCTCAGCCTCAAGGGGGCTCTGCTAGGTGGTGAGGATGAGATGTCCTCCTCCTCCTGGCTGGGGCAGGCTGTTGCCTCTGCATGCTGGCTGCAGCTCCCTTAAGCTATTGTTATATATAATATCCAAAGCAGATTCTCCTAAGGAGGCAGATCATGCTAAACAAAGAACTAAAATGTGCACATGATACAGAGTAAGTGCAAATGCTTCTGTGTGGTGATAATTTGCATTCAGTTTCAGAGTCTTTTAATGAATCACAGAGGCATGCACTTTGTTTGAATAAAGAATGCACAGCCTTTTTTTTCCCCAGGTAAAGTACACGAGATTCTTGCTTAAATGAGGCATACAATTTTAATCAGTTGAGCCCTTATAAAGAAAGAAAAACAGCTGCTACTTGTTAATTGGCAAATATCTTCTCCAATGAGCTCCTGATTTATTCACTGCTTTTAATAAAGACTTAAAATTCCACCAAGAAAGGGGTTATCACCACATTATACTATCTGCTGGTACATCTGCAGCTAAATGACCCTCTTAGAGAACATGAGTGATGGCTTCCTCAAGCCCACTCTGCCCACTCTGGCCTTCTCCTCACCTATGTCCCTGCTCACCTGGCCCTGACTGGTGAGTTCCGTCTGGCTTACATGAGCATGGGCTGACATCCTCACCATGGGCAGAATCGGTTTGGTATTTGTAATTGCAACACTCAGGGTAAACATTAGAAAAACCCACAAAGCAACAGCCAGCCTTGTAAAAATATTCAGTTGCACTTATTGATAGCATTCCCTTTGGCCAGGCCCACAAAGTCTTGAAGGATTCAAGGGTGGGAGGAATGGAACATTCTGTTCACCCTGGAATTTCCTCTCTGTTCTGCAGGACTCCTGCTGATAGTGGGAGTAAAAAGAATTGCTGTGCACTGCAAACAAGGGTCTTTTCTGTTTCTTTGTCAAATTCACGTAAACGGAGACGTTTCAGTGCCTCTGTTGCTTCACACAGGTTCCAGTGTAATCCTCACTCCCTCCTTTCCCTCCTGGTAGTAGCGGAGGATGGTTAACGCTGAGAAAGAGCTCTCACACCCCAGAAAGGAACCATGGTTACCGCTCAGCAAGCAAGGACTGAGGAACAATTAAGTCATTCCCCTCTCTTCTGTGAGGTGTCCCTTTGTTCTTAGAGTAAGCTGTGAAGTGCTCATTACCTCTTGCGGAAGCTGGAATTGACATGACATTGATTATATCCCAATACCAAAAGCCCTGGTCTTTGCTATAAATGGTCCTCAAGCTTATAAGCATGCAGTGAACTTGGTTCATTTTCCAACCATTGCATGCTGCAGATCTTCCTGGCTAGGATGTGCTAGGGAGTGCCCCCCACCCCGACACTGAGAGAGCCTGGCTGTTCAGGTAAGATTGAGGCTGTGGAGCAGAGGGGCACGGCGTAGAGAGGTGGTTGGGGGTGTGTCCTTAGAACCTAACATCTCAAGCAGTTAGCACTTTCTGGAAGATTTTTAGGTATCCCCTTTCTTTTAACACTTTGGGGGAGGATCACATTTACTTAAGATACTCATCTGTATTCAAAATTTAATAAGCATGGAGACATACAGCGAATTGGTTGATACTGCAGCATTTACTAATACTAAAGGGAAGCAGTGAGCCTCATGAAAGACTTGGCCTTGGCTCTGATCCTGCCCTCTCCTAACTGGGCAAGCTTGGACAACTCAGCCCTTCTGACTCTCAGTCTTGCGGTTTGGAGGAGAATTTTAAAAGCATAGTGTAAAAATCCTACATATAGCCTAACTCATAGGATTTGATTTAGGATACCACACATTGTATGACTTAGTAAAAATAGAATGAGTTTTATGTGTTGTTATAGGTGCTTCTATCCAAATGACTTGTTTTTATATTTTTAGTGGCAGTTGAAGTTTGAGATGAGGAGAAAATGGGACCTGTTTGGTGGGATGACAGAGACTTTTATAACATACCACTTTTCTCCTGGTTAGTAACACGAAGGGAAACAATCTATGGGTTTAGTTCGTCTACCTACATGTAGATGAGACGCATGATAATTTTAAGTCCTTCATTATCTAGTTCAGTGTTCCCGTTTTGGTACTACTGACATTTGGGGACTGGATGGCCGTCTGTTGTGGGGGGCTGTCCTGTGTACTGTGGATGTGGGGACTGGATGGCCGTCTGTTGTGGGGGGCTGTCCTGTGTACTGTGGATGTGGGGACTGGATGGCCGTCTGTTGTGGGGGGCTGTCCTGTGTACTGTGGATGTGGGGACTGGATGGCCGTCTGTTGTGGGGGGCTGTCCTGTGTACTGTGGATGTGGGGACTGGATGGCCGTCTGTTGTGGGGGGCTGTCCTGTGTACTGTGGATGTGGGGACTGGATGGCCGTCTGTTGTGGGGGGCTGTCCTGTGTACTGTGGATGTGGGGACTGGATGGCTCTCTGTTGTGGGGGGCTGTCCTGTGTACTGTGGATGTGGGGACTGGATGGCCGTCTGTTGTGGGGGGCTGTCCTGTGTACTGTGGATGTGGGGACTGGATGGCCGTCTGTTGTGGGGGGCTGTCCTGTGTACTGTGGATGTGGGGACTGGATGGCCGTCTGTTGTGGGGGGCTGTCCTGTGTACTGTGGATGTGGGGACTGGATGGCTCTCTGTTGTGGGGGGCTGTCCTGTGTACTGTGGATGTTCCGCAGCTTCTTTGGCCTCTATCCTCTGGCTGTCAGTGCACAACCCCCTTGATTGTGGCAACCAGAAATGTCACCAGATATTGCCACATGTCCTCTGGGGCATAAAACCCGGCTCCTTCCTAAGCCCTTCTAGTGAGACCCCTGGGTAGCGCCTGACCTCCTCTGGACGGCCAGGGGCAGCTGCGAGCCTTGTTCTTGGGCAGGTTATCATGCGACCTTTATTTGAAGCTTTTGGTCTAAAAAATGTGTGGAATGACAAAAAGGAAGTATAATGTAGCTTAAAAAAAATCTGTAAGAGATTGGCAAACTCTAGCAGACAAAATTGTTATTTCAAAATAATTTAAACTTGGCATAAATTTATTTTTATGAAAGGAAGGAAGAGGTCTCAGCTAAAGATCATTCTGGTAGAAATCCCTTTATTCTCCTGTCTCACTGTTTTCTCAGTTTCTATGTTCCCCAAGTCACTGTGCACCACTGAAACCCTCCAGGGAAACCCAGAGAAAAGTGTCTCCTATGCCCAGAAACTGATATCCCAGAGAGACTTTCTACCATAAGGAGCAGGAAGAGGGAGGCCTGCTGATCTCTCTGGACCAGACTGTAAGAGGGAGGATGAATGAGCCCCACGAGGCAGTGTGGGGTGCTGTGGGGGAGGATAGGGTGGGAGTGGATATTTTCTTTCAGAGTTTAGAGTAATAACGGGCTGAAAGTGGGCACTACGGTGCAAATGAGCATGGGAGCTAATGGTTAGCTCTTTTCATGCTAACCCCCTAGAGCCTAGCACAGGACTTGGCATGTACATTACTTAGGTTTGTTGAGTGAGTGAATGAGACTTTTGAGGTTGCTTAGACCAGGATTTATGAACTCAAATGCTTGCCGAGTGTGGGTGAGGGGCTGGGTGTACAGCTGGAGTACGTAAGAGGTGGTGGGGCTGTATCCACGGACGATGGCAGCTGCCGCTACTGTCACTGCAACAACAGGTGTGTGCTGGACGCTATTACCTGTGCTATTTCATTTACGCTTAATGGTGATAATTTTTAAAATCAGAAGGTGTAGAATAAGGAACAAATGAAACTGTAAACAAGGCCTAGAAAGAAGGGCAGCATCCACAGAACCTTTGATTCTCCCTCTGCCTGCTGGCCTCCCTGTGGAGCTAATGTCCCCTGTACAAAGCACACCCTCCTCCCCTGCTGTTGCCCATTGTTCTTTCAGGCTTCTGGACTCCCCTGGGCAAGCTCTCTCCCCTAATTGGAGTTTCTTCCAGGGCTCCCCACCTCCCTACCTCCCTGTGGGTAGAAGCCCTTCTGCCCCGACAAGCTCGGAGCAGACAACGCCATTATGTATGTCACATTCCTGGGAAGAACTGAAAAGTTTAATTTCAAATGTTAAAGCACTTTGTCCTTTTTTGTTTATTCAAGTAGTTTAACATCTCTTTGGCAAATAAAACTAGCACGTTGTGACAATGGCTGAGGTTTCCCTTGTTTGTAGGAGACATTTATTAAGTCTTATGAAATGTGAAAGGATTATTTCCAAATATCAAAATAACATTCACAAAGCAATACTTTATAACTTGAAGATGTCCCAAGCCTTTAGGTCAGTCAGAATGTTCTCTTAGTATTTGAAAACAAGGTCTTTTTCGGTCAAAAAGGCAGTTGAGTTGGAAATGTAAGATAAACTTACAGGACTAGCCAAGTGCCGACTTGGAGATGACCCCCTGAAGGCCACAGGAGGAAGATGGCAAGAAGGAGAAGGAGTCTCCTTTCCTGATGTTCTGGATGACTGCTTTCCATCTCATTTCTCCAGGAGAGCCCATAAGTAGTGAGCACTTTCATCGGGCTGTCAATGTGAATGATGAAGATTTGCTTGTCCGAATACTTCAAGGAGGGTGAGAGAATTCAGCCAGTATTTTTTTTCCCTCCCATGCCTGTGAAATGTGTAGAAATACAGGCAGTAGCTTCACGTTGTTTTCCTAAAATTTCCCATGCCTTTGAAACTGCCTCCAGAATGAATCTCAGGTGACTGGTGTGACTTAATAAACTATAGCTAATAAAGATGCTCCTGAAGCCCCATGTAAATGTTAAATTTCGTAATTATGTAATAGAAATTGTAAAAGGAAATTGTAAGGCTGGGTGTCCTATTTTCTTCCCAGAAATAATTTCTGTCTCTTGCTTACAAGCCATTTAGGCAAATTCCACCCCCAAATGCCCATGTCTAAGTTCTGATGAAACGAGGGAATCACCAAATCAACTGCTTTCTAATTTAAAAGGTTGATATAACACTAGAGGGAAAATGGTGAAGACAGCTGCTGCAGATGAGATGTTTGAAGCTGCCTCCTAAATGAAAAGTAGACGATGTTACCTCGGTTCTTTTTGAATCAATAGTTTTGAGTACCCTAGAAGACAAGTCATTTGTGAATTTCAGCTCTGTAATTTGGAGCTCTTAAGAGAAGGTTCCCACAAAAAGCCAAAGCAGCTATGCTGGAGCATGGGTGTGAAGACCTCTGTTTTCTTTTCTCAACAGCACTGCTCTAGCCGGTAGATGAGACGCGAGGCAAGGGATAAAGCCTGAGTCTCCACCAATATACAGATTCATGTTCGGTGGAACTGAGAGTCAGCAGTGAAGATGCCGTCCTCAGCTATCTTAAAGAGCTGTGTTTGTCGGACAGTGCTTTGTCTGATGGCATAATAGCATTCAGCCAAAGAGAGTGCCTATTTTAAATGAAATTACAGCAATTTTCTCTTTTATTATACATTTGAATCTTGTAGAATATTAGGGATCTATTTTAGAAGATTCTTAGCAGTCTAAGACAAGAAAAGACTTAATGACCCTGAAGAAATTGGTAACGAGTCATATTAGCCACCTAAGCCCCATGAGAATCACCAGCTTTGAATCTGCAGGAGCTATACAGAGCATGCTCATCTCTTTTCTCTGTGTTTTTCCCAAGCCATGTTAAGGTTGATGTTCCCAATAAGTTTGGCTTTACTGCTCTGATGGTTGCTGCCCAGAAAGGATACATCAGGTATGCCTTTTCCTTTTTTTTTTTTTTTTTTTAAAAAAAAAAAAAACCTCTCTTGGGGATTTAACTTTTTACTTTATTTAAAGGCTCTGGTCAGGATAGGGATGGGAGGGAAAAGGGCCGTGGAGGAACCCCACTTCTTTTGTGTCCCCCAGACCATACCATATGATGGCTTAGAAATCCAGCTGTTATAGTCATAGATACACGACATGCAGGGGAGAATGTAAAACATGTAATCATATGTTGAGGAAGAAAGGTAACCATTTAATTACATGCAATATATTTTATATGTTCTTGGAAAACTGGTTATTGGAATTCGAATTTCTCTTTTTAAAAAATGTAAAAAGAGGTTTATTCTGCAAAATTTTCTGCTAGGTTGCTAAGATATAATTTTCACAGATACACTCTTATCTTTCCACATAGAGATACGTATTAATGCTTTATTTTCATTTATATTTAATTAAATGCCATCTGAAAAAAATAGAAATGTGTTTTCATTAAATGCTACCACTTAAAAATATCTTAACAATGGCTAGTTCAAAGGACAGTGAATTATTTTGGTAGCACAATTTGCTTCATGTGCTTAAGTTTGATTTTAATGAATAACTCGTGTCAAAGGTGAAAGCCCACGTATTTGGAATGAAGAGGTGGTTTTCTGGTTTAATGATGCCTGGTTTTAAAACCAGCTGGCTTCTTGAAGGTGCAGAAGAAACTGTCGCAAAGATGCATCTCGGATACTGTGTTACGCATTTTTACTGGATAGTTGTGGGCTCTGAGTGATCAAGGTGACTTATCTAGCTACAGTTAAGTTTGTTTCCTTTAGGCTTGTGAAAATCCTAGTTTCTAATGGCACAGACGTGAATCTGAAGAATGGAAGTGGCAAGGACAGGTAGGAGGTGGGGTATGACCAAAAATGTGCTCATGTTCTCAGAATTGTGTTGCTAGGCTTGTGCCCAGAGGGCTGATTTCACCCAAACATTTTTTCAGTTTCTTTTGACAGTCCTGAGAGGTGAGTGGGTCCCTGAGGAAAGATGTTGATGCCAAAAGCCGGCTTGCTCACATGGCCTTGTGCTTTTGCTCACCAGGGCGCTTAGGGGGGCATCTGTTGTAATCTGTGGTGACTTCTCTGGCGTGGCGCCTGTGCCTGGTGAACACGTGGTGCATGGGAAATGGCAGCTACAGAACACCTCTCGCCAGCTCCGTGCTGGGCATGGGTGCAAGTGCCTGTCCCCAGCAGCCCATGCCTCTCAGCCCCCTGCTCTGTTTCAGCCTCACTCTTTACTCAGAATCTTTGTTGCTTCTAAAGAAGCAGAGAGAACTTGCCACCAGAGACACAGCCGGAGCACTTTCCTAAGGTGAGGGGCACAGGTCCCCTTGCAGGGCTGAGAACATTACAATAAAAGCTCAGGGGAAGAACATGAAGCATGTAAAGAACAGATAAGAGTGCTCCTGAAAAACCTAGACACACTTGCTAGTCCAGTCCTTGGAGTGAATTAATTAATTGCAACTAACCCGTGCTTATTGACTGATTACTACTTGCCAGACGCTGTGCTTGGTGCTGGGGTGAAACAGTGAGCAAAATGCCAGGCCTAGGCTTCAGGGGCTATGGTCACAACACACACGGAACCAGGGCTCGGGCACAGCACATGGCATTGACGGAACAGCTGCCAAACACTCACCTTCTGGCCAGGCGTGGTGGCTTACACCTAATCCCAGCACTTGGGGAGGCCGAGGTGGGTGGATCACAAGGTCAGGAGTTTGAGACCAGCCTGGCCAATATGGTGAAACCCCGTCTCTACTAAAAATACAAAAATTAGCTGGGCGTGGTGGTGCATACCGGTAATCCCAGCTACTTGGGAGGCTGAGGCAGGAGAATCGCTTGAACCTGGGAAGTGGAGGTTGCAGTGAGCCAAGAGATTGCACCACTGCATTCCAGGCTGGGCAAAAGAGTGAGATTCCATCTCCCCAAAAGATAACAAAACGAACACAAAAAAACCCCAAAAAACTGACCTTCTGCATCAGGCCAGAAAGAAGACCCCAACTAACTTCTCAAGTCAGAAGGCCTGTCTTCTACATTTACATTCTCTGGACACAATGCAGCAATAGATTTTAAATAACAATATCTTAAATATCACTTATACATTTAAAAAGTATTTTTCCAAATAACTCATAGGTAAAGTTGAGACTAAGCTATCAACTCCAAGTTTGAAAAGAACGGTCCAGTCCGAAAGGGAAAAGGAAAAAAGTATAAGGAGAACAGGAAAAATGAAAGAATTAAAAGTAGACATGGATTAAAAATTAAAGATTATTGAGAAATATAAGAGTTGCCTCTTAAACAAAAGCCTATATAATGAGATACACCAATCTTTTATAAATCTAAGAAAAAAGAAAAAAAAAACCTAGAAGTTTGAAAGAGGATAATAACAATGGCTATAGAGAAAATGTAAACATGAAAAGAAAATGGTGTTTGTATCTATAATAGTAGATAATTCCATTGAAATGGATTCTTTTTCTGAGAAAATTTAAACCACCCAATCAACCCAAGAAGCAGAAAATCCAAAATTACCAATATCCGTGCAAGAAACAGAAAATGCATTTAAAAATTACCTCCAGTGTAGGCTCTGTGGCTTGATTGTTCTACCAGTGAAGCTGTTGAGATTTTCTAGTCACTGATAATAACCCTGGGCTTTTCTAGAGCAGAGAGGAATCAGGAATGCTCCAGAAGATGACCTTATTACTAAAAATCTAATATTAACAGAAAAAAAGCTATTTGTATGTTTGTTTGTTTGTGTTGTAGATATTTATAAATCTCTTCCATCCCACCTGTAAGGGCCATATCAGAGGGTAAGGTATTAAGAAATCTTTTAATCTAACACTTCCCATCAGTAGATTAAAGGTGAAAACCTTTATTTGTGTAGATGCAAAACAAAAATTGGATGTAACTTGGCGTGTTTATTAAAAAGTATCTTATTTTTTAAAGTGAAGGATACTTTCAGCCTTTGAACAGTGTCTGGCACATGGGAGTAAGGGAGTGTCTGTTGAATAAAGAATCCCTTTGATTGCAGCATACAAAGTTTTTTGTTTTTGTTTTGTTTTTTTTAATTAGTCAGCCAGTGTCATTCTTAGTATTGGTAGATTCCTTTCCAAAATTAGTAGTGAAGCCCAAGAGAGAGGTGGAGAACTTGATGTGAAATCCTCATCCCTCTGAGGATGTGGCGTGACCTTGGGCAGGCTACTTAACCTCCCTGTGTCTTAGTTTTATGTCCATAAAATTGGAATAATTAGAAGTACTTATGGGTTATAGACATTTAATGAGTTAATGTGAAAAATGCATAAAACAGTTCCTGGCATATGGTACATACATACATATTTTGTTATTTCATGACTAGACAGTATTTTGAAGGCTGATCCACTTGATATGAACTGAGGTAAGAGGTATGATTTCTTTCCTGTAGAACCTAACAGAACTGATTTCAGAAACTTGGACCCGATAAGGAGGCTCAGAAAAGTAGACAGCTACAAGGCAAAGACAAGACTTTCTTAAATCCCTGCAATTACCAGTTAATACATATAATGGGGAAATAAAATAGAATGAAAATAAGAAAAGTAGGAAATCTGAATGAAAAAATAAACCTAAAAACCTTACTGAGTGATATAAAAATTTAAGAAATAAAGACATGTCATATGTCAGCATGGCAAGATTGACTATGACAATTTTTAGTTCTTCTCAAATATTGCAGAGAGGTTCAGTGCAGCCTCCAATGGAATTATTCTTGGGAACCTGTCAAAATGATTGTAATGTATATAGAAGAAGAAATAGATAATATCTACTAATTTTGATATTTTGTCAAGGAAGAACTTGGCTTGGCGGTTATTAAAATGCCTTATAACGTTATAGTAACTCAAGTAGTATGATACTGGAACAAAAAAAGAAGTAGAATGGAATAGAAATTTTCAAATAGATCCCTATCTACATAAGAACCTGGTATATGATGATGGAAGCAACATAAACCAATGAGAAACGTATTGGAAAAATAAGATGTTCGAAGGAAAAAGTCAGGTTAGATCTTGGTCTCATAGCATGCACCAAAATAAATTCCAGATGAATTAAGAATTAAATATAGGCTGGGCGCGGTGGCTCACGCCTGTAATCCCAGCACTTTGGGAGGCCAAGGCGGGTGGATCACGAGGTCAAGAGATCGAGACCATCCTGGTCAACATGGTGAAACCCCGTCTCTACTAAAAATACAAAAAATTATCTGGGCATGGTGGCGCATGCCTGTAATCCCAGCTACTCACGAGGCAGAGGCAGGAGAATTGCCTGAACCTGGGAGATGGAGGTTGCGGTGAGCCGAGATCGCGCCATTGCACTCCAGCCTGGGTAACAAGAGCGAAACTCCGTCTCAAAAAAAAAAAAAAAAAAAAAAAAAAAAAAAAAAAAGGAATTAAATATGAAAAACAAAAACCATAAAAACAAATGACCAGAAAACACAGGCACATAATTATTTGAGCTTGTAATGTGAAAGGAATAAATGCATTGGAAGGAATCATTAAGGAAAAGATTATGCATTTTTAAAAAAAATTATGATGTTAAGGACATTCCAGGGAGATATTTACAAATGCATTATAGACAAATTACTGGCATTTTTAATGTATAGAACACATGTATGGCCATACATATACTCCACAACAGCCTGCACACACAATAGAAAAAAACAGTTTACACAAGAAGACAATTTATAGCAGAATCAATATAAGCAATTTCTACAAAAAAGTTTAGCATTACTAGTAATAAAAAATTTTCTACCTATCGAATTCGTTGTTAAAAATAATCATGTTGATAAAGATGCAGTGAAATACCTGTACTTTCAAATATAGTTGATAGAAATGTAAATTGGTATAATCTTTCTGGAAAGCAATTTGGAAATGTGCATTCAAAGTAAGCCACATTCATGGACACAGCGATCCCATTTTTAGGAAACAATCAGAAATGCACATAAGACTAGTAAGGGTGTTAGCAGTGACTCTTTGAGGAGATCAGACCAGTTATCTTATAGAACGTCCTATGTTCTGATTTGCCCGTCTCCCACCTGTGGGGCAGGCATCTTACTTGTTCCTCTATCCCTTTATTAACAATAAAGTTAAGACAGGTTTAAGGACTCGATTGTGTCAGGTGCCATCGTTCATGCCTGTAACCCCAGCATTTTGGGAGTCCCAGGCAGGAAGAACCCTTAAGGCCATGAGTTGGAAACCAGCCTGGGCAACAAAGTGATTTTTTTTTTAAAGAATTAAACAAACAAAAAAAATTAAAGGCTTAATTAGACTCAGATTAACACTTTTTGCAAGAATACTTCAGAGCTAGTGTTGTGACTGCAGGTTATATCCATATATATAAATATATTAATGCAGGTTATATATTTAAAATTGTGAGAAATTTGAAACAACTTAAATGTCTGACAATAGTGGACTGATTGAATTTATGATATATTCATATGGTGGAATATTTAGTATGTAAATACTGTTTTCAGTGCTTATGAAAACAGGGAACTATATGACATAATAAGAAACTCAGATAATACTTTTTAAAAGGCAGGGGAAAGAACATCATACAGATAGCACAAGAGAGAAAAGACGGGATTTTGTGTAGAGCTGGGAGTATAGCAGGGGACTGAGCAGCCAGCTAGTGGGGTGGGTCCTCCATTCCTGGTGGGCTTGCCCTGGGCACAGGCGGATGCCTTGCAGTGCTGTGCTCAGGAGTGCATTGTGTGAACCAGAGAAGGGCATTTTTGTAAAGCAGCAGATAACAGACCCCGCAGGTGCCAGGTAGTTTGAGTTCAGATGGCAGTTGGGGTGGCGGCTGACTCCAGCTGCGTGGCACTTGGAGGACCTTAGTGGGCTTTCTGCCGGTGGGAAGCAGGTTCAGGGCTGTGCCTGTCCCTGGGAAGGAAGAGCTCCTGGTCTCAATGAGCTCACTGCTGGGCAATCCAGAGCCTCTGGGGCTGGTTATTAGACAATCCTCTTCACCTCCTAGAGCAAATTCAGCAGCAGAATCTTAAGAGTTTGTTCTCTGTGAGATCAGGTTATGAGTGACTCTGATACGAGATATTTTTTTCCTAGGTACCATGCCATACTTTATAATCAGAAAAGCATTATTTAAAAATCATGCAGATAACTAGAGTTCTCTTTGAATGTAACTGTAAAAATGAAGTTTTCTTTCCTTAGCAAAGGTCATTTTAAAGGCCTTCAAGTGTTTGGGAAGGAGTATGAGCACCCTAAGCTCGGCAGGCAGGTGGTGCACCATGCTCACTGTCTTCTAGGGCTCTCCAAGAAATGAAGGCCTGTGTGAGGATGTGAGGCTGCAGGCGTTTGGCCCCATCTCAGCTCAGCTGGGCCTTGCCTTCGGGGCTTCCAGTTATCACTCAGAGAGAGGCTTTGCACATTTCCCTATCGGGAAGATCTTCTGTTTTATTTTCCAACTCTTTATTCTGAAACATTGACACATTTAGAGAAAGTGAAAGAGCAGTACAGCAGACGCCTGTATACCCGCCACCTAGGCCTGGCAGTTGACATTTGGCCATATTTGCCGCCTCTTCTTTTTTTTTTTTTTCATTTTCGCTGAACTATTTTGAAATTAGTATAGCATAACCCTTCACCCCTCAATACATCAGAAAATGTTTCCTAAAATCACAGTCATTAACCTGCATAATCCTATCACACCTGAGACACTTCAACTAATTCCTTAGTACCACTGATACACAAGCACCCATGCGGCTCTCCCCTACCTGTTCCCCAAAGCTCTTCCCCTGCCTTATTTGAGGGGTGGTGTGGGCGAGACCGTGATCCACTCGAGGTTCCTGCACTTCATCTGGCCATCCCCTCTTTTTAGTCTCTCTTATTCTAGACCAGTCCTCTCAAAAAATTTTTTACTCGTAGCAGTGAGTCTTTGAAGAGACCAGACCAGTTATCTTATAGAACGTCCTATGTTCTGATTTGCCCGTCTCCCACCTGTGGGGCAGGCATCTTACTTGTTCCTCTATCCCTTTATTAACAATAAAGTTAAGACAGGTTTAAGGACTCGATTGTGTCAGGTGCCATCGTTCATGCCTGTAGCCCCAGCATTTTGGGAGTCCTAGGCAGGAAGATCACTTAAGGCCATGAGTTGGAAACCAGCCTGGGCAACAAAGTGATTTTTGTAAAGAATTAAACAAACAAATAAAATTAAAGGCTTAATTAGACTCAGATGAACACTTTTCGCAAGAATGCTTCAGAGCTAGTGTTGTGACTGCAGGTTACATCCATCGGGAAGCCTGTGATGCAGGTTGCCTCAGGTAGTGATCTCAGGTAGTGATTCTAGATTTCATTACTTTTTTAGAGTGATGACAGTAAATTTTCTTCTTTGTAAAGATACAGTTTTCCCATAACACTTAGAAAATAATCTTTGGGGTAATAATTCATTGCCGTGTGAATATTCCCTTCCCCATTAACTTCTTTTTTTTTTTTTTTTTTTTTTTTTTTTTTTTTTTGAGACAGAGTCTTGCTCTGTCACCCAGGCTGGAGTACAGTGGCACAATCTCAGCTCACTGCGACCTCTGCTTCCCAGGTTCAAGCGATTCTCCTGCCTCAGCCTCCTGAGTAGCTGAGATGACAGGCTCACGCCACCATGCCTGGCTAATCTTTATATTTTTAGTAGAGATGGGGTTTCACCATGTTGCCCAGGCTGGTCTCAAACTCCTGAGCTCAGGCAATCCGCCTGCCTGAGCCTCCAAAAGTGCTAGGATTACAGGCATGAACCACTGCACCTGGCCTCCCCATGAACATTTACCCAGTAATTTCAGTATCTATTGATGATCCTTGTCTGAATCAATTATTTAATTGGGAATTGCAAATAAGGGGTTTTCTAACTCCAGAGTTACTTTTATATTTGTTAGCTGGCAGTCTTCTGTAAAAAACAGCTCACCAACTGGGGGTGGACTACATTTTATCCTTAAAAAACAAAATATTTAGTTTTTTTCTTAAATACCAATTTTTAGAATAAGGAATTGGTTTGATAGTTATCTTTAGTAGTGTCAAAAGAGTATTTTTTTGGATGTTTTAAAATCCAATAGTTTACCCTGTTATAGTCACTATGCGATATAACTTACATACCGTAAAATTCACCTTTTAAAACATACAATTCAACATTCAAAAATGTATTCACAAAGTTGTGCAACCACCACTACTAATCTAGTTCCAGAACATTCATTTCCCCACCCCCAGCCCCTCCAGCCCCAAAGAAGCCCTGTACTCTTGAGCAGTCACTCCCTATCCCTCCTTCCCTTCAGCCTCAGGCAAACACTCACCTGCTAGTTCTGTCTTACTGATTTGCCTATTCTGGGCATTTCATATAAATGCAATCAGACAATCTGTGGCCTTTAACATCTGGCATCTTTTAGCACAGTGTTTTAAGGTTCATTCATGTTTGACGCTCTTCCTTTCTAAAATCCCATTGTATGGATGTGTCACATTTTGTACATCACTTGATGGATACGTGTACCTTTTATATGAACAATTCCATGGCTTTTCCACTCAAATTAGGATTTCTTGGTTGGAGACAGGTAGGGTAGAATGTGGAACTGAGTTTGGTGACTGTGCTTATCATCAAATGCTGCTTCTTCCGCATGCTGCAGTCTAATGCTGGCGTGCTACGCGGGACACCTAGATGTTGTGAAATATCTCCGAAGACACGGTGCTTCTTGGCAGGCGAGAGACCTGGGAGGCTGTACAGCTCTGCACTGGGCTGCAGACGGAGGCCACTGCAGCGTGATTGAGTGGATGATCAAGGATGGCTGTGAGGTACGGGACCTGCCTTGTTAACCACGCACACGTTGTTAAGAATCTGAAATGCTGCTCCATGGGGTCTAGCAGAGGCAGTGCCTTTGATTAGTCAGCCTTAGAAATACTGGAGAAATTTTTCTGACTTAGCAAGAAAGCTTCGAAACTTTGGGAAAAGAGATCATCATAGAATTGACATTATAGTGAGCTTTCAGGTTGTCGTGGGTGTTTATCTTGCGTAGGGAAGAGAAACAGGTCTGAATCCAGAGCTGGACCTGATGCTTCTACCTTTTTTTTTTTTTTTTGAGATGGAGTCTCACTCTGTTGCCCAGGCTGGAGTGCAGTGGCATGATCTTGGCTCATTGCAACCTTTGCCTCCCAGATTCAAGTGATTCTCCTGCCTCAGCCTCCCTAGTAGCTGGGATTATAGGCATGTGCCACCAAGCCCGGCTAATTTTTGTATTTTTAGTAGAGATGGGGTTTCACCATTTTGGCCAGGCTGATCTCAAACTCCTGACCTCAAGTGATCCACCTGCCTTAGGCCTCCCAGAGTGTTGGGATTACAGGTGTGAGCTGCTGCACCCGGCCTGATGATTCTACTTTGTTCTTTTGCTCATTGGCTTATTTCTCTCTTCATTTAGTCTTTCACCAAAGCTTTACTGAGCCTGTACCAGATATTATTTCAAGTGCTGGAGATACAAAGATACTAAGAGATCTTATAGCCGTTGTGCTTCCTGTTACTTCTAAAATTGGACAATTTTTATTCTTGGTTTGTTTTAAAGATTAGTTGTTAAAAAAAAATTTCCAAAGAGCAGACCATATCAAGAATAGAGAGCATTTCAGTTCTTTGTATCTTTACCTGGAAACAGGCAAGTTTGTCTACCTTTGATTTCACGTTACCAGAAAGTGCAAATTTGATTTAGCAAATAGAAGCAGTGTTGTTTGGACTTCTACAGATATTTGAAGATGGGTAATTAGAATTAGATCAGTTATGGAAATTGCTGATAACTTTGAAAACTTTAGTTCAAGACTTTGAGAAATTAGCTACAAATTTCAAGGCATGGAACTAAAGAATAATGGACAACGTGTGGTGCTATCCGTGACTGCCAGATGGTGTGTAGAGTGCTGAGAAATTAAGTCGATGACCTGGAAAATCAACTCAAATTGAGAAAAGTCATGTCTCCTGGAAGATGTCAGTAGATTTGTTCTGGATTGTTTCTGAAGGGTGATTGCGTGAAAGTGAGGCTGCAGTTGTGGGATCTACCTGGTTCCTGCTGCTGCTTTTGGAGAATTACCTTCCTTTTGTTTTAGAGACAGGGAGGCAGAAGAGAGAGCCTGTGAGAGGCAGAGAGAGGTAGAAGGCTGAGCCTGTGGGCTTCCGTGGTAGAGCCGGGCCCATGTGCCACACATGGTAGTGACAGCCACATGCTGCTCGTTTGGTCTATGATCAATTCTGGGCAGGTTTTGCACCTAGTAAAAGTCTGTGGTTGAAAAAGAAGGTTCTACTTTGCTGAAGTCAAGCATCCAGTCTGGGCATGGTGGCTCATGCCTGTAATCCCAGCACTCTGGAAGGCCTAGGCAGGTGGATCACTTGAGGTCAGGAGTTCGAGACCAGCCTGGCCAACATGGTGAAACCCTTTCTTTACTGAAAATAAAAAAATTAGCTGGGCGTGGTGGTGGGCATCTGTAATCCCAGCTACTAGGGAGGCTGAGGCAGGAGAATTGCTTGAAACCTGGGAGGCAGAGGTTTTAGTGAGCTGAGATCGTGCCACTGCACTCCAGCCTGAGCAACAGAGTGAGACTCTGTCTCAAAAAACAACAGCAACAACAAAAGGAAAAGTAAAGCATCCGCAATAGGGCAAGTCTCAGGTATCAACATTTAAACACAGGAGTTGTGGAAATGTAGGCTCTCTGGGCTTCAGATATGAACACACTAATTTGGGGTAAATTCCATCTTTCTTTGAAGCACTGGAACTACTATGCAGAGGACAGAACAATAAGCATGGATGTGCTTACTATAGATTTCAACATGACTGCCCTGGTGGCAGATGGATGATGTCAACATGAGTCTCTCTGTGTTCGGCAGGTGGCTTACCTGATGCTTCTGAAGCCCATGGGAAGGACTTGGGGGCCAATCACGGCATCGCCACCTTCTTCCAAAATGTAATGATCATATTCTAAGAGTGACTTATTCACTTGGCGACTTATTTATTCATTTCTGCATTTAATGAGCCATGTGACCTCAGAAAAGGCACTTCTCTGAGATTTAGTTTGACCATTTGTAAACCAAGAATAAAAATGCCTACCTCTGATTAACCTTTAGGACCAAAAGAGAAAATATGTGTAAAGAGGTTGAAAACTGTATAAAGCATCATGTAATATGAGGTGCTTATTTTATTCTTCTTCAAATATAATGAAGCGTGTTGCCCACAGGTTAGTTCTTTGCATGAAGGAGAGCTGCAAATCTGAACCATGTTGCAGTGGATAATCTTATACATAGAAGTACCCTGAGGTGCCCCCAAGATCTCCTGGAAATTCTTTGTTTGCTGTTCCATTCTGATGTTTTACTAAAGCTATGGATCATCTTTGAGTAATTCTTCTGTAACAGATTGTGTGTGTGTGTGTGTGTGCACGCACGCGTGCGTGTGTTCTTGTGTGCACATGGTATGCATGAGTGTGTAGATGCACACGTGCATGTGTGTGCCTGTGTCTGAGCACACGCACGTATCTGCAGCACCACCCTTCATGGATTGGCGAGGTCTTCACTGGAATTGGAAGAGACAACATTTACATTTTCCTAATCTAAAATCTTTATTTTAAAACACTAAACCAAGAGATTTCAGTGTAGAGAAGACAGTCAGGAGACAGCCATCTGATTACATGCATGCTGTTTTGGAGAAGGCATTAGTCAGACTTTTCAGACAGAATTTGTGTAATGAATCTGGTTGTTTTGTATTTTACCTGTAGGTCTTCTGCCTAAAGTTGTTATTATTACTGTCTTGTTCCAGAAAGGATGTAAAGCTGTTTGCAACCATACATAAAAGTAAGAAAAATGAATGCTAGGTGAGGAAAATTAGGCAAGAGAGAATAAGAGCGATCCAGGGGCCAAGTGGAAAGTCGTTCAGTTAATTTTTCTAGCCCATCTTTTTTCTACTTTAAAGGATGTAGATGAAGAAACCAGTGGGGAGACCCTGGGGCCTCTCAGCACCCTCTAATGCGATTCTAACATGTGTCCTCACAGCATAGAAATGCGACTTAAATTAGCACAGTGCAATGAACTCCTACCAAATGTGGAAAGATGGGTATCTGAGCCTGGGCACTGGGGCAAGGAAATACTCCTGTTATAAGTTTGAATCATTTTAAGGAAAAGAAATTGGGCTCAACACAGCTGTTTCTCTGGCCCAACAGGTAGACGTAGTGGACACTGGTTCAGGATGGACCCCACTCATGAGAGTCTCTGCAGTGTCGGGAAATCAGAGGGTGGCCTCTCTTCTAATTGAGGCTGGGGCCAATGTGAATGTGAAGGACAGAAATGGAAAGACGCCTCTTATGGTAGGTCGTCCTCCCAAAAATAGGCAGTTTTCTGCATGGAATTAAGGTCAGAGCTTTTTCTGTGCCTCCACCAGCCCTTGGCTTTGACTGTGTGTGTGTGTTCCCTGTCGGCTTGTTCAGAAGGGCATGAGGCCGTCACTGGAATATGTTTCTTGTCTTTTTACAACCATTTCTTTAAGGAGTAAAGAACCCCTGTCCCCAGGACCACTGTGGGATCAAAACAGATCTGGCGAAACAAAGAACTAGCTGCTTTCTGTCCTGGTTTTAGTGTAGAGAGAGGGAGAGTCGTTTCCCTGGAGTTGCTACTGTTGGCAGCTGCAGAGGAAGCGCTGTGCCTGCAGGCGCGAAGCCACAGTGGCCCTTTGTGGGTTGCAGGGGGCTGCTGGGACTCCGCACGTGCCAGGCTCATGCTCCCTGATGCTGTGTGTGCCCTGGAGGGAGGAGCTCATGCATACCACCCTGGGTTTTGTTTTCTAGGTGGCTGTGTTAAATAATCATGAAGAGTTAGTTCAGTTACTTCTTGACAAAGGGGCAGATGCAAGTATAAAAAATGAGGTAACTGAGTCCATCTTTATCTAAAGATCTTCCTTGGAGGGGGAGAAAGAACGTTTATAAGCATGTAAAATTTTTGTTGTTTCCTGTTTCAGTTCGGCAAAGGTGTCCTCGAAATGGCCAGAGTTTTTGACAGACAGGTTGGGATGCTCTTTCTGCGTATCAAGGCTAATTTTACAGTCTTTTAAGACTCGGAAAAACCACCAAAATCCTGGATTACATTCACCTGTCTGTTTTTGTTTATCTAGAGTGTAGTCTCCTTATTGGAAGAAAGGAAAAAAAAGCAGAGGCCGGAGAAGTCTCCTGTCTGCTGATCAGAGCACCGCTCATCTGTGAAATCCACATAAAACAAAGTGAAACATGACTGTTAATCTAGGGATGGGAAATTCCGCATCTCAGAGGGCTGTACATTTATTTATTTAGTTGAAGATTCAGTGTTCCCACTTTGAAATACATCTTTTTACCTAAGCACGTGCGTGTGTGGTGCCATCACTGGGCGTCTTCAGAATGGGGATGTTTTCTTGCATTTGTGCCTGTTAGAGTTAGACATGAAACAAAGTATTTACGCACTGGAGCTACACACACACACATGGGTCTCCCACTCCCGGCTCCTGCCCTGCAACTGTCCTTCAACCGTGCTAGGCCTTGTTGGAATTCTTTCCCTCATGTGTTTTCAATTAAATCCTCCCCTCCCAACTTGGGGCTTCCAGGCTGGTTGTCAGGCCGCTGTTCCCTCCTGGAGCGGCGCTCCTCCGAAAAGCCCAGGAGCTTTCTCTTCAGCTGTTGGCCTCACATCAAAGCTCAAAATACATATTTCAAGATTCCGATTCTGTTCTATTAGAGGTGTCTGGTTGAGGGTCAGCCTTCTTAGACTAGACCTGTGAATGTGTTTGCATATCTCACGCCCTGATAATGAAAGACTCAGCCTGCTGGTGGGTTGACGACGTAGCCAAAGGGTACTATATTAAATTTTGTCTTCAGAGCATGTTTTTTTTTTTTTTTTTTGATGCTGATCATGCAGTTCCTAGACAAGCGGGAATTAACCACAGCCATGTCTGCTGGTTGGGAGCTTAAAGACACAAACGTGGTAGAGCTTCAACTCAGCAAACACACTTAAAAATCAGCACAAAAATGAGTGCACAGACCACATGAATTTTGTGTCTCCAGAGGCACCCTGGTTAACTCGGCCCCATGAGCAAACCAGCTACAAAGGTCTGTACAGGAGTAGATTTTTTTTTTTTTTCTGTAGGGAAAGATTAATAAAAGGTAATTAAAGCTCCCTTTTGCTGAGGGGCATAGTGAAAAAGCACACAATTCTATTGACATTAGCAATCGGCTTTATTCCAGAGTGCTCACAGAACATTCACTTTAGGAATGGGATTTGTGGGCCATAATCCCATCCCTAGATAGTTCATGAGTGTTTTACCTTTTGTACAAATGCATATTCCTTTAGATTTCCCAGATTAGATTTTTAAAACCTCTCCAAAAATTGGATTACATTTACAACTCTCCAAAGCTCCCTCCTTTTGTTGGTGGTCAATGTTGACGTTCACTTTAGTCGCATTTTTTTGGTCTGTTGTAGATTGTATTCACTGGCCTGTTCTGAAGGCATGTGCATCCCTTCTGATTGATGTAAAGCTTGGCAAAGCTGTCTACCCTCCTGATAAATATCGAACCATCCTTACATTCTTAAGATCGTCTCCCTGGGTTATGGTGGACTGCAGGATTCTTCATGCTCGTGTGCTATGTACGTTTGCTCTTTTTCTTCTTTTTGCTTAATGAGAAGAGAAAGTGGTCTATACACTGTTTGACTTTTCCCAAAGAGCAACTCATAGTTTTATTAGCTCTATTTTTTACTAATGAACGTATCCTTATTTCTACAAATTCATTCCATTTTTTCCCTGAGAGTTTATTTTATTCCTTTTGTAACTTATAGTAGATATTAGATTCTCTTTTTCATCTTTTACAAATTAATATGTAGATTTAGGGCTATGAATTTTCTCCCAGCACTGTTTTAGTTATATTATTATAGAAGTTTTCTCAACTTTTCTGATGAAGAATTCAATTGGGAGAACTTGCTAAATACACATTTTGTGGCCCCATCTCAGCTCTCGGATTTGGAATTTCCAGGGAAAGGACATGAACAATGGATTTTAATGGGTTTGAACAAGCATCACAAGTCAGTTCTTCTAATTCAAAGAGTTTGAGAATCTCTGCCATCACGTGTGCTATTACAAATGTTTTCACTTGCTATGTTCTAACCTGCAATTCATCTTTGAAAACTAATGAATCATTACATTTCTAGGGTATGGAATTATTTTTTGAGAATTTTTTTTCCTCAAAGGCACTTAGAAATATCATACATTTTGTATGTTTGGAGTATCTTGTTTGATATTATATATCAATTATGTTTGAAGTTTTGTATGTACTAATGTTTGCTGGCTTGCTTGATCATGGGTGAAGAGTAGTAAGAATAAAGATTCCTTTGGCCAGGTGCAGTGGCTCATGCCTGTAATCCCAGAACTTTGGGAGGCTGAGGTGGTCAAATCATGAGGTCAGGAGTTCGAGACCAGCCTGGCCAACATGGTGAAACCCCGTCTCTACTATAAATACAAAAATTAGCCAGGCATGGTAGCATATGCCTGTAATCTCAGCTACTCAAGAGGCTGAGGCAGGAGAATTACTTGAACCCAGGAGGCAGAGGTTGCAGTGAGCTGAGATTGCACTCCAACCTGGATGACAGAGTGAGACTCTGTCTAAAAAAAAAGACCCCTTTATTCTTGTTAGCATTTTGTATATGTATTTTTCTTTTCCTTTTTCTTTTTTTTTAAAGACTAGTCAAGTGCAGTAGTGAGAAGGAGGGAAAAAGTAGAACAAGGAGTCTGATCTGTAACTGACTGTGAACAATCAATGGAGATAACTCACTACCTTCGGACCAGCTATTTTCCTTTTTCTTTAGTTTTCTTTATTAAGTTGGATGCTGTTTTTCTTAAATTTGTAAATAGATATCTGTTTACACTTAGATTTTCATACCAAATAACTCCGATACTAATATCTCTACCACTGCTTACTTTCTTTTTGGATTTCTTATGTAAATAAGTTAAAAAAATTATTTGATAGGTTATACATTCACATTGTTCAATAACTGTATCAACTCCTACCCCCCAACGCTATGTGTGAGCATCTTCCCTCCTGTCTGACATGTTCATGAGATTCGTAGCACACACCCCCTACCCACCGACCCTGCCAACCATTCTTAGTTTCTTATGTACTGTTCCAAAATTTTCTCAAGCATCTATACATGAACGAGAATACATTTTTCTGCATGAAAGATCTTCCCCAAATTTTTGTAACATTCTCAGTAACAAATGAGACACACATTGACATTTACCTGTATACTATTTATTGAGTTTAATATTCATAACAATAACTTTTTTCTACTGAAATAGCAGGTTGTGTTCACCTGTCGAACCCCAATATGAGAAATGTGTACAAAAGCAACAGACTGTAACATAAAAAGGTATGTGGAAAAATTAGCAAACCAAAGCATGATACATGGACGAAGCACTATAGAATTCCTGTGCTGGCTTACGTAGCTGTATCTTTAATCTGTACTGTGCTAAATAGCCTGTAGCCAAGTTTTGAAGAGTTACAGGAACAGCTGCCACACATTAAAAGAACCGGGTACTCACTGCAGCCTCCCGATTTGACCTGATGGGAGGGACAGGAGAATGATTCACTCTGCCACTGTTTTTCCTCTCTTGGATTTGTAGAGGATTTTTTTTTTTTTTTGGTCTAATTTGTTTTTCCTATCACTGCCCAACTAAGCTACCTGCTTATAGGCCGTGAAAAGTAAAATGCCATTCAACTTTTTTGCAAAACTAAAATAATCACATGATACTTATTCTTTGGAGCATTTAAATTGTGTTAAATGGAGGACTAAAGAGTGTATAGGAGAATCATGGGGAGCAGAGAACCTTTTTGAAGATGATGTGGTTACAGGGCATTCAACCTAGAAGAGCCAAATAGCTTTAAATTGAGAATGACTTTTTGTATTAAATCTTCTGGCTATCATGATCTATTACTGGATATTTTAATAACTTTATAGCTATTCTTAGTTTTTCTTATATGAAACTGTTATGGCTGCACTAGAAGCTGCCATTACTCTTGCAAAAAGTAAAGAGGGGATTTTCTCTATGAATGAAAGAAAATGGCACATTCACATGTAGGTAAGTAGCTTCTGGAAACATCCTCACTGCACAGAAATGGTTCTCAGCATGGGGCTCCCAAACTTTCTTAGAGTGTCATGTGTTTTACTATCAGAGTTTTCAAATAGGATTAAAAAGCAATAGATGTCAATAGAAACTTTCGGGTGAGTTAAGAGAATTTTGTAATTATAGATAAGTTGATTTCCTATGGCTAACTTCCCCTTCTAATTAGAACAATACATTGGGTAGGAGGTCCTCTGCTGGACTAAAGGCTGGTGGAGTTGCTCTGGGCTGCAGTCCTAGAGAAGGTTGGGCTTTGGGCATCCCTTGGGTGGGCCTTGTAGGGACAGCCACCCACCGCAGCAGTCACCACTTTGGCTGATCTAAAGTGGCAATGGAAGTAGTAATATGACTGTCAGAAATTGGAGATGCATCCGTCTGGGGTTTGACCTGGGAAAGCGACTTGCGTCTGGGTCATAGGAAAAGGCAAACAGATGCATTAGCCACTGGCTTCCTGTGGGCAGCTGCGTTGAATGAGTCTGCTGCTGAGTCACAGGGAGTAACTGCAACAGCCTAGGACTGGCTTCTAGCGGGAGAGGAGGGGAAAGGGGGGTTCTGTCATGTCCCCCAGCAGCCAGTCATGGCGTGTGAAACTCGCAGCCTGAGAGCCCCACCTCTGGTCAGCACGAGTGTTGGGAGACTTCTAGGAGGGTTGCGTGACTTTCACTTGGGTCACTGGTGTCTAGCCGGGGCCACCTTGAGAGCAGTGAGGAAGGATCTCCAGCCTGAGTGTGCCGTGGGCCCCCAGAATATGTAGGGGAGCCCTGCGTAGCAGTTGTAAATTGAGTAAACCTCACGAGGAAAGTCTGCAAGAGTTCAGGGTGCATGAGAAAGACCTGGACCTGCTGCCCTGGCACCGCCTTGTGCCCTTTCTGCCGCTGGGGGTCTCATTGGCTCAGAGTGCTTAGTAAACATCAGTGGAGAGGGGGCAGGAGGACTCTTGGCCCTGCCAGTTGGCCTAGCACCAGGCATTTTTTTTTTTTTTTTTTTTTTTTAGCACCGTGGAGACCATAGGCTCCTAAGAACATTTTGACAGAATTTTAGCAGTTTTGGTTTTTTTTGAGAATGCATTGATGTATTGATTTGCCAGGGAACAATGGCTTATAGTTCAGCCTGAGAATTCTTCATAAAGTTAAGAAGGCATAAAAATGTCCCCCCTGAGACTCATCAGGAGTATTTACGCTCCTACAGTTTAATTTG